AATGATATTCACTGTAAAGTAAAAGCCTAGCTTGTTATATTTTGCATACGGACGCTCGGATACTTCTCCCCCTCCGCCTTTGCCTGCCCCTATTGAATTCTATTTCCCACCTATAATGACGGTTGGACAAAAATGATTTTGCCGTGGCGGCCGTATGTACGAAACATATATTTGTGAATACACTGCTGATATCGCGCCGAATTATTAAATGCTGATGAGTACAGTTATTTGTTTGCCGTGTTACTTTGCCGATTGGTAGCGTACAATAATATTGCCTACTATTATCCTTTTCTATTTGCTATAAGGCTTTACAACCATTTACCTAATACTGTAAAAGCCCTACAGTTTCGTAAATTTGAAACAGTACTTAAGAAAATGCTTATTGTTAAAAGCTGTTATAATTTGAATGAATATTTGAATGAATTTATATCACTTTTAATTATTTTCACAAAGTTCTTTGTTTTCAATCTACTTATTTGACAATGTTAATATTTTCATCAAAATTTTTAAACCTTATTTACATAAAATAAATGACGAATGATCAATAGTTGAAATATAATATTTATTGAAATTTAATTTCAAAATAAATGTGTGTGTATTATTTAGTTTGGTATTTTATAAATTAATTAATAATAATATTTATATTGTGTATTATAAATATGGTAATTTAATTTAATTCTATATTAATTAACATTTAAACTCTGTCTTAATATGCTATGCCCGTACAGGGTGTCACATGTTCTGCAAATACCTATATTGTACAAAATTTATACTTTGTGACATGCAATAAAGAATTACTCACGCTAAAATCGCAGTTGCATTCTGCAGGCTGCCGCCGTGTTTGGCACTATAGGACAGCCGATTGGGATGGGATGCGATCTTTCGTTGCATCCTACCCTTGGGGGCGGGTTTTCTTCTCGCCGGTTGTTGAGGATTCTGTTGCTGATGTTGTACTTCAGGGTATGGAACTTTTTGTTCCTTCCTCTGTGGTGCCCATTGGAGGCAAATCTCAGCCACGGTTTGGTCGCTCCTGTAAAATAGTATTATGCTATAAGCAAGAGTGCTACCAAGCCTGGGCTGACGCATCAGCGTCCCGGGATGTAAACACCAGCGCTTTAAAAAAGAAGTATAATTCCGCCTCTAGGTCCTTTAAAAGGGTCATTGCCAAGGCAAAGTCAGAGCACATAGGCAGAATCGGCGAGAAACTAGTTCGCCTTTGTTCTGGAACCCGTGCAATCTGGTCTCTCGCCAAGGCTGTCCAGGGGAATTTCTGTCAGCCATCTCTTCCATCTCTGCACAGGGAGGATGACTCACTGGCCCATACCGCAAAGGAGAAAGCCGATCTTCTAGGCTGTTTCTTTGCGTCCAACTTGACTCTCGATGACAGGGGGAGTACGCCGCCGACCATCCCGCGGTGTGAGTGCTACATGCCGGAAGTGCAGTTCACACAGCGCTCGGTTCGCAAAGCACTCCTCTCCCGGGACGTCCACAAGTCGAGTGGGCCAGACGAAATCCACCCAATTGTGCTGAGAGCATGTGCTCCAGAATTGGAAAAAGAACCCCTTTGTCGTGTCTTCTCAGTTTTAAGGCACTCCCCTTGTTGCCTCAGCCAGTATCGGAATCCTCGGCGTCGATATATCGAGTGACGTGTAGTTTCGTGGTCACTTGGAAGAGAAGGCCAAATTGGCCTCTAAAAAGCTTGGCGTGCTCAGCAGAGCGGAACAGTATTTCATGCCGGCACATCGCCTGCAACCTTACAAGGCGCAGGTTCAGCCGCACATAGAATACTGTTCCCATCTCTGGGCTGGGGCTCCCCAGTACCAGCTCCTTCCACTTGACCACATCCAGCGCAGAGCGGCTCGAATCGTCGACGAGCGAGTGCTTTCCGATCGGCTTGACTCACTGGCACTGCGAAGAGATGTTGCATCTCTTTGCATTTTCTTTCGCGTATACCATGGAGAGTGCTCTGAGGAATTGTTCGGATTAATTCCAGCTGCCAATTTTCGTGAACGCACTACGCGGCTAAAGTCCCGATACCAATCACACCATCTGGATGCTTGGCGGTCCACCACTGTACGTTTTAAAAGGAGTTTTGTTCCGCATTTATGTTACATTCACAGTTTAAGTTAGTTTAGTGCCAAAAAATAAAATGGCGAAATTCTGGATAGCTGGTGCTATGGTTACCTGGCTATGGTCGAGTTATTAATACTTTTTGTATTTCCACTGTAAAAATCTTAAAGTGAATACGGACTGAAACTCATAGCACCTTCTACCGGAAAGGTCATAACAACGTCTGCCGAACCAGCGAGTACTGTATTGTATGTTGTATATTCTATAGACATTAGTATCCTGTTACAAGCAGAACAAGGATAACGTTTTTTTCTTATAAAACGGAGGTGACATACATACTAACAGTCCACTTGATAGTAAGTGGTTTCTGCGGTCCATAGACACCTGAAGCCAACACAAAAGGCTGAAAATACGTCGAAAGGTGGTAAGTTTCACAACCTGTCATTATAGTAGCTGTCTATACTCTTTAGAAGGTAACAAAGCAGTGCAAACTCTTTGGTGACAAAAATAGGTAAGAGGATGATTCCTACCTAGACAAACTTTGAGGCAGAAAAGGAAACCATCTAGTAAACTGAAAAAAAAAAACTCAACAAATCAGTAAGCTGGAATAGCAGAGAGCCGGAACTATCTCTCGAAGAGATGATTACCAATGGGTAAAAAGGGCTTCGAGTAGTCTCGTAGTGATAAGCTTAGTTTTGGTACAAATATTAGCTTCCTTCTTCTTCAGCTCAAAGTCTACAGCTAGTCATGGGACTGTCATCTATTGGATGGCATAAGGTTTTTACATTTCTCTTTTTCTTCCTTCTGCCTCTAGCTCTTTCTTGGCCATTAATGTTACAGTTTATTAAAGTCCACTGTTGAACTTAGGTCATAGATTACCTCACAGAGAGGGTAAGCCATAATTTTCACGCTTTGCAAGCGAGTTGGCAGCATTTGTTTTATATTTTTAGTCGTTATTAGGAGGACGCTGTTGTACATCTCCTAATTATTTTCCCTGTCGCTTACGACACCCACGAGATGATATGTGGTAGTGGAAATTCTTACACCACCACTACGTAATTGCGCGATTATTCATTTTTCTAATCTAAATGAAAAGTTTGTAATCTAAATGTTATAAGATATTTCGCTGTGTAATGCCGGCGTAAGAAAATCCACCTGCCAATTTTTTTTATAGGATAGGGTGACTAACGAGCACACAGTCCACCTGGATGGTAAGTGGTTGCTGTGGCCCATAATAGACATCTACATCTATCTTCGACTACGAGTCAAAATGCAGATTCGTTGTCACCCGTGAGGACTAAGATGGAATGCCTCGTTTCCGGTAAAAAGGTTCTGCTGTTCTCTACACACATCATACGAAACACAGCAGCATTAAGCTACTATTTTACGCTGGTATTCTGTGAGAGTGTGGTCCTTCCCCGATCGAGCCGAACCATTCGTGCTACAACTATACCACTTATATAACCGCAGCGTGGCTCTACCACGTACAAACTGTAGAAACTATGGCAAATATCCCTCCCCCCCCCCATAATATAATCAATGGGAGTAGCAATAGTAGTGGCATGAGTTAGTAGTTAATGAAAAGCAGTTGAATAAAAAATATATGCGTAAATAAATACAATATTCTTAATCTAAACATGCCACTAGAGGGTTTATTTTTGCTTTGGTTAGTAATGTCAGCTAGACAGTCTTATCGATTTTGAGCCACGATAATCTGTAACTTTTCAAGGTCTCTAAATATATTTCCTACATACTCTTCAATAGTTGAAAAGGTTTCAACAATCGTTCGAAAATAGCATAACGAGTACTTGGCCTGATTCCAGTTATAACTTGATTGAATTAAATGTCGATTATAGACATTTTTACCCTAAGAGACCCTTAAATCTTTAACTTATAAAATATGTCCAATGTTGGTGTGCATCATCACTTATCTTCAGTGAGTTATAGGAAAAGATACATTGCGAGGCGCAGTCACTAAATGAAACATAATTTAATATGCTATACACAAATTGTAGAATACTATACATAACCACGTGCGTGTCGAAACGAAGGAAGTTGATTTCTAAAAATATAAAATATTTCGAGCGGAAATTAGAGCTTGTTAAACGCAGAAAATGTTGTGTAACTTCCTACACCTTATTTATTGCGTGAGTTTAGGGCAAAGTAGTTAGCGATCAGCCATTAATTTTCCTTTGGAAATATATAAAAATGATTGTACACAGAAAACGGTATGATGGAAATAATGTGCGATACTGTAATGACCTCAATCTCAAATTCTTCTCTTTCTTTTATAAAATAAGTGTGACAAACGAGCGCACAGTCTATGGTAAGTGCAAGTTGTGGCCCATGGACATCCACATCTATCCTGGATTGAAAATCAAAACCCAAATGCGTTGTCACCTCTGAGGACTAATACTTACCTTGCTCCTGTAAAAAGGGTCTTCGATTTAAGACTCAGATCATTTTTTATAGTATGAAGCTGACATACGAGCACACAGTCTACCTGATGGTCGGTGGATGCCTATAGAAAACGACATCAATCCTCACTAAAGAATCAAATTGCATAAGCTCTATAAAGAATTAAACTGCATTGCTACGATACCGAAGTCATAGGGTGTTGTTGGAAATATTGCCACCATATAATACGACTAATGTGATAATCTAACTAGACTTAATCGCAAGCAACAAGCTTTTAAATACGTATGTAATAATAATAATAATAATAATAATTTAACTTAAATTAAATTTTAAATTTATAACCCCACCAGCTGGCTTGGTGTCGGCAGGGTCTTCGCGGGCTCAGCAATCGGCACCCGCCACTGGTGGAGTACGCCGCATGCGTTGGACAACCCAGATGAACAGCAACGCATTGCGGGCGTATTTTAGGGCGAAAGGGGGGAGAAACTGGAGGTTTTGCGTATCGGGCAAGGATGCATCGACTTTTTGCTGAGCTGGAGCCATCTGTAACCGTCACCGAGCAAAACCTGGCAGACCGAGTTCGGTATATCTTGCGCTCAAATACATTTGATGTCACCGAACTCGAACGGCTACGACGTGAGGCTGTTCCTTCATCGGGTGAAAATGCTGCGGCTGAGGATGCGGCGCCACAACTTGCTGAGCAAACGGCAAATCTGGATGCCGCCGTGAATACGCCAGTTGTGGTTGATTCAAACGATGATGGAACAGTCGCCCAGGAACTGGAACTAGAGCAAATGAGGAGTACATTGGAAGAGGCGATTGTGGAAACGCGCAGTACGACTCTCGAAAATCGACCGCGACTTCCCCGCTTAGCCCTAAGCAAGCGGAATCGGGCTGTCGTGAGGGCTCTGAACCCAATGCTGGTTACCTATTTGGAAGCCAGCCGGGACCTTTGCGATACGGACTCAATTCTTTTTGGCGCCGCACTGGCAGTCTGCCGTATTATAGGTGCCAAACTTTCCACGGCTGGACGCGCTACTGGACAAAGTAGTGCTATCCCAGCCTGGAGAATAAGAATTGAAGAACGTATCGCAAAGGCTAGGGCCCTCATCGGCAGACTGATATGCTTCAGGTCAGGCAATACCAGGCCAAGGATTGTGCGCACCGTCAGGATGGCGTTTGCTGGGACAAATGTTAGTTTGTCCCAGCCGGATATAATGCAAAAACTGACGGAGCGCATAGACGACCTGAAGCAAAGAATAGCTGCTTGGGGAAAGCGGATTCGGCGATATACCGAGAGGTCGACACGGTTCAACCAGAATCGTCTCTTCCAGAGTGATCAGAAGAGGCTCTATAAATCATTGGAGCGACCAATAGTAAGTGGAACGGGCCCTGCACCAAATCAGGCCGACATGGTCGCATTCTGGCGCAGCCTGTGGTCAGAGCCCGTAAACCACAACGAGGGCCCTTGGACGGAAGTTGTGGCGAGTCAGTGTGCGAGTATTACGCCCATGGACCCCGTCATCATAACGCCGGATGACGTAGCTGAGGGCGGTCTGTAGGGCCCCGAACTGGAAAAGTCCGGGGCTTGACGGGCTGCATCACTACTGGCTGAAGGGGTTCATGGTGTGTCACTCTGTGCTCGCCCGACAGTTTCAAGAGGCTCTCAACCAGAAGTCGCTCCCAAGCCTCTTCACTACTGGGATCACTCATTTGGTTCCTAAAGATCAGGGTGCCACAGACCCGAGCAAATACCGCCCCATCACGTGTCTACCGACCATATACAAGACACTAACATCCATTTTGAGCGCAAGAATCGCTCGTCACCTGGACTTAAATCAGGTGATGTCGCGCGCTCAAAATGGATGTCGGGGCGGCGGTCGTGGAACCAAGGAACCACTCCTCATTGACGCGGTCATTGGCAAAGTGGTGAAACGCAACCGTCGGAACTTCTCCGCCGCCTGGATAGATTACAGAAAGGCATTTGACTCGGTGCCCCATACATGGCTAAAGAGGGTCCTCGAGCTGTACAAGACTGACTATACAGTTCGAGACTTCCTCGAGCAGTGTATGGGGCAGTGGAGTACGATCCTCTGTCATCTAGGCGAGCGGATGACGGCTGCGGAAAGCCACATAAGGATAAGAAGGGGTATATTCCAGGGCGACTGTCTGAGTCCAATCTGGTTCTGCCTCTCTTTGAACCCTCTCAGTACTTTACTGGAGGGCTCCGGGAAGGGGATTTCAGCTTCGGAAAGGAGGTACAAAAGTGACCCACCTTTTTTACATGGATGACCTCAAATTATTCGCCTCCAGTCGCTCCCATCTTATGGAATTGCTAAACATCACGTGTGAATTTAGCAATTCTATTAGAATGGAGCTGGGGACGGATAAGTGTGCGGTCCTCCATGTTGAAAGGGGAAGGGTTGCTGACTCTGAGGGCATAGACTTATCTATGCCCGTCAACTTAAGAACCCTTTCCGAGGCTGAAACATACCGATACCTGGGTATGTCACAGAACATCGGTATCGATGAGGCTGGTATGAAACAGTCAGTTTGCGACGTGTTTTATGCACGCTTGACCAAAGTGCTTAACAGCCTTTTGTCCGGTGTGAATAAGGCACACGCATATAACGGTTGGGTCATGCCTGTCCTCATGTATACCTTTGGCATACTCAGGTGGACTCAGACTGAACTTAACGCCCTGGATAGAAAAGTCCGCACTACCATGACGTCCCATAGGATGCATCATCCGAGATCGTCGGTAATGAGGCTGTACTTGCCGCGGAAGCATGGTGGTCGTGGCTTCTTGAGCGCGCTCACCATGCATAATCGCGAAGTGTGCAGCCTCCGTGATTACTTCCTTGCGAGATCGGATGATCCATTCTATAAGGACGTCATTTCTTGTGATAAAGGACTTACCCCTCTATCCTTAGCCAACGAGCAATGGCAAGACCCGGCAGTGCAGAGCATTTCCGACCGGGAGACCGTATGGAAGGAGAAGGAGCTCCACGGGAGGTTCTACAAGGCTCTACATGAGCCTTTCGTAGACACAGTAGCCTCCCTCCACTGGCTACGCTTTGGTGATCTCTTCGGGGGAAACCGAGGGTTTTGTCTGTGCAATACAGGATCAGGTTATTAAGACCAACAACTATCGGAGATACATCCTAAAGGATGGCACCGTCGACATCTGTCGAGCTTGTCGCCATCCCGGTGAGTCACTTAGGCATGTTATCTCCGGTTGTTCGGCGCTTTCTAACTCTGAGTACTTGCACAGGCACAACCTAGTAGCCAGAATTCTACACCAGGAGCTCGCTCTGAAATACGGTCTCGTGGATCGGAAATTGCCGTATTACAAGTACTTGCCGGAAGCCGTGCTCGAAAATGATCGCGCCAGGCTCTATTGGGACCGGGCCATCATCACAGACAGGACTATTCTTGCGAATAAACCTGATATTGTGCTGATGGACCGGGCACAGTCAAGGATATTTTTGGTCGACATTACCATTCCGTATGACGAGAACCTCGTGAAAGCCGAAACAGACAAGAAAACAAAATATCTGGACCTGGCTCACGAGGTGACCGACATGTGGGGTGGTCTGCCGACCGAAATTATTCCTGTAGTCGTCTCTGCAAACGGGCTAATCCCAGTCAGCCTCTCGGGTCATCTGAGGCGGCTGGGACTACGTGGCGGACCGCTCCAGGTTCAAATGCAGAAGGCGGTGCTCCTCGATACCGCCCGCATCGTCCGCCGGTTTCTTTCCCTTTCCCCCTAACCCTCGGCCGTTTGGTCTCCCCTGCCGAGGGCCTCCATCTGGTTGGGCTTTTACTTATTTATATACTTTTATATTTAATTTATGTTATTGATATTTATGTATATTTATCTTTTCATTTTCATTTATAATTATATATTTATAGAACCCAACCAGATGAGAAAACTATATAGATACCCCATAATAATTTCATCCGATAAAAAAAATATCTGGATCTGGCTTACGAGGTGACTGACATGTGGAGTAGTTTGACGACAAATTATACCTGTAGTCGTTTCTACGAATGGGCTTAATCCCAGTCAGCCACTCAGACTCCGTGACGTACCGCTCCGGGCTCAAATAAAGTTAGCGGTGCTCCTCGATATTGTCCGCTTCGTCCGTCGGTTACTTTTACTTTCTCTCTAACCCGAGGCCGTTTGGTCTCCCCAGCAGTTTTTATTTATTTATATATTTTATATGTATTTCTTTTACTATATTGATATATTTTTTTAATTATATATCATTTTCATTTATACATTTATACGGCTCAACCAGATGATAAAACTATTTAAATACCCCTTAATATCCACCAGACCAATTCCTATCACGGTGGTTAGACTCCACGGAGACTAACCATCTGCTCAGGATAAGATTATAGTGCCCAAATGTATGCGCAAGCACAAGTGCACTCTCTATTCTCCCCCTCTCATAGTCCGAAGGGACGGTAATCCGATACGACCGGAGAGAGATTAGGCGCAGGACCAATGGCTTTACGTGATTTCCGAGGCACCGGGTTGAAACACCGCAAAAACTTCTTGACTCCGGGCGGACGAGAATTCTTGAGGAAAAACCCAGTAGCTGACTTATGGCCCAACCCGGAATTTGAACCCGGGAACTCATGAACAGTAATCCTGTTTACGAGCACTAGACCAATGAGGCAGTCTGACGTAGTTGCAGTGACGTGAGTAAACCGTAGGTAATGGGTATACAGACGACGGATTAGTTCTCAGAACGTAACGTTAGTTGACTCTGTCAATTTTCATTAGCATTTTTAATAAAATTTACTTGTTGACGGCATATTGGATTTACCCACTTAATATAAGTGAGTTAAAAAGTTCGCTAAAAGTGAATTACTAAATTAGAAGTAATAGTCTAATTTTATATTAAATTAGTTTTGTATTTTTTCTTATTATGTATAATTTTTAATTTAAGTTACAAAAATTATTTTATTATATTAAATTTAAGATAAGTCGTCGGGTGGTGGCGACGTTATGGAACTGATCTCCCTATTCTGTCCATTAATCATTCATAATCATCAGTACATTCCTTCACAAGTCCTTTACTGAATATAATCCTCCCCCAAAGAATACCTGCATCCATCGATTACATAAACATAAACACTCACGCCTGTCACCCAGAGGGGTAGGCAGAGACTACGGACTTCCATTTGGCACGATCCTGACATACCTCTTTCGCCTCCTTTACATCCATATATCTACGCATACATGTTCGTCGGTTAAGGGTACTTCTAACGTGGCCCATTTTCAAAATATCGCCAATTTGGTCGATAAACTTTTTCCTAGGGCGTCCCTTGCCGACTCGACCGTTCACATCTGCCATATAAATTTGCTTTGTCACTCTTTCCTCATTCATTCTTTCTACATGACCAAACCACCGAAGCATTCCTTGCTTAATCCTGGTCACATCATCTTGCATACCACATTTATCTCTTATCACGCAATTTCTCACCATGTCATTCAGATTCAACCCTAGCATATTCCTTAAAGACCGCATTTCTACAGCATTTATTCTACTTTCGTGCTTCTTCAGCCACACCCAGCTTTCACTACCATACATTAAAGTAGCGACTAACACAGCATTATGAATTACCATACGTGGCCTTTTTGACACGTTCTGGTTATGCATAATAGAGTGTAGTGCCCCATTCACTCTATTCCCCGCATTTACTCGTCATTCTATATCCCTATCATATCTACCATCCCTGCTAAATACACATCCCAAATACACAAACTCATCCACTTGCTCAATTAACTCTCCTTCTATTCTTATTTCACATACCGTTTTGCTTTTTTCTCTTTCAAAAACCATCACTTTCGTCTTACTTGCGTTCACTTTCATTCTCCTTTTTTTTAATTCCCAGTTCATTAATGTAACCATCATTTGCAACTCAGCCGCCGATGACGCAAATATGACTTGATTGCCATCGGCATACAAAAGGCATTTGACGGTTAACTCGCCCATTCTTAACCTACATTCTTCATCTTTCAAAGTTTGCAAACACCTATCCATAAATAGGTTGAACAGACAAGTGGAAGCTACACAGCCCTGTCTGACACCTTTTTGGATGTCAACCAGTCCGAGTAGACCCCATTGATCCTGACACAAGCACTAGAGTCCCTATAAAGAGACCTTTATGCCTGTATCAAACCAGCCCTCAACCCATATGAGTTCAGTGTTTGCCATAACACATTCCTGTCCACTCTGTCATAAGCCTTTTCCAAGTCCATGTACGCACAAAAAAACTTTCTGATTTTTGGCCAAAAACTTCTCCGCAATCATGCGCATGGAAAAACTTAATCTGTACACCCCATTCCTTTTCTAAAACCCGCTTGCACATCCCAAATTTTTCCATCAGAATCTTTCATAACTGTTTCAATTAACACCTTAGCATACAGTTTACCCACAATACTAAGCAAGCTGATACCACGGTAGTTTTTGCAGTCCTGCTGTGACCCTTTTCCTTTATATATTGGTACTATAATTGCTTTACACCAGTCATCCGGTACCCGTGT